TTCCTAATCCACTGCTTATCCTACTTAACGACCTTTTTCCCCAGCAATTCAAAGGCAAATTAGGATATTTCACCCATACTGGTATAGTTTGAAGAACCTCTTTATTAAAATCAAAATCAGCCGACTACATTTTGACAATGATAGGCTTATTATCCAACATGTGAGGCCCTGAATACAAAACTTCATCTCTATCTTCAATCGAATTGAAACGAACCACAAAATACCCATTATCATTATGGAAATACACCTTAGGCTTAGCTACAAAATTCCATACTGAAGCAATGTACCTTTCCATGGCGCCTATTGTTGGACTTCCTCCAACAACATACAGTATTAACGCAAGCTTCCATTTCTGAGTCTCCTCCTCGATCTCTTCCTTACAGAGCTCCACAGTTACCTCGCCATTTTTGATAGTAGGTCAATAAAGCTTAGATCCATACCTTTCGCCGCATAATTCGATCCCACAAATAGGTTCGCCCACTGCTTCTGCCCTTTATCAGCCTCCACATTAGGTAAACTCACTTGAGGTTGAGCTACCTTCATTGGATCTCCTTTTACCCCCAGTTCAACAGTAATTGGTTCCAAATTCTTACCAGTTGTCACAGATTTGCCTATATTTGGGCTTGCATGTATCATCTGAGTATCAGTAATCACTTTACTACTAAGATCGGTCTTATCTAATGGAGTTTTCACAGTTTCCTTCATGGTTGACAATGGCGGCCACTGTTCCATTAGACTTTTCCCCATCTCTTTCCAAATTGTCATTCCTCAGAATTGGAGTGCTCGTACCTGCACAGTCAATCACCAGAGTCGCAGTAATAATTCTCTTCGGTCGTCCCCTCCCCATAGTTGATGGCGTACGTTAGCGCATGCACTCTAACGTGCGCCGAGAGAGCGGTTTCAATTGCTTTAAGTTGTATGTTATTGTAGTTGTATTTAGCTGGATAGTGTACGAAAAAATTTCCATAAATAAATTGTGTGCATATAAACGAATTCATAATATGTTAACAAACTAACAACTGAATAAATTGTACAGATAGAGAGTTAAGAGACAGATAAAACTGATTTTATAAATTCAAACCTAACAAAAATCATTTTACTGTATTATTATTGCTTTGGAAGGAATATTGATTCAATTTTAAAGTCTGATCTTTGTCTAAGGTGGTAATCATTTTACTGTATTACTCAAAAGGCGCATTTTGAGGGGCATGTTTGCCGTATGCCAATGCTAAAGTGGTCATGCGGTGAAGTCTGATCTCCGTGTTATCCTATATCACTCCTATATGACCAAGAAAATCTTGAAGATTTAAAGATCGAACTGGTAAGTTTTCATAAAAGGCAGGAAGATCAATAATATGACCTAAGAAATGCCTGTGGAAACATTCTCGAGAACAGTCGGCCTTTTGCTTTGATAAGCAGAGCACATATTCCTTAACAGGGGAAGTGGACCACAGCCAATCCAAGATACCTGAAACCAACTTCTCCCTTAAAAGAAAAAGGGTGTAACTACATCCCTTGATTGAAGTCACAAATAATGAATTGGGAACCTTTTAAGGTGGATTGTACATATTTGGTAAACAAAACTTGTTTATGCCGGGTAATTAACTAAATATGAACATTAAGGGTAATAAAGTTTCAAATAGTATATAAGAATGAAAAAATCTCTTTTCATAATTCCAAGGCCCAAAGAAAAATTCAATGCTTTATTACTTTTAAACTTACTATATGAATATATTTTACACATGTAACATGTATTCGGTACGGTTCGATATTTTTTCGATTTATTTTTATAAAATAAAAAATCAATCCTAATTATTGGTACGATTATAGATTTATATAAAAACCTACGGTTCTTTTAAAAGAAACCTAAGAATCGGTTCGGCTCGGTGCGGTGCAATTTGGTCGGTTTAGTCTGTTTTTAAATATCTATTAACACCCTAATTGAAGGGGAGCCTTGGAGTAACGGGTAAAGCTGATGCCATGTTCTTGGTCAAATATTCGAGTCGTGGAAACAATCTCTTGCAAAAGTGCAGGGTAAGACTGCATACAATAGACCCTTGTGGTCCGGCTCTTCCCGAGACATAGCGAGAGCTTAGTGCACCGGGTTGCCCTTTTTTTTATATATAAAAGTATGTCATTAAGGATAAAATAGAAAGTTAAAATTTATTTTCTTTCAAATATAAAAAGGCATTTTTCTTTTTTAAACAAATTGAAGAAAAAAAATGCAATGAAACAGGGAGTAATATTTATATCACTTGCACTACCAATTGGTTACTAGCATACAATGAAGACAAAAAAAACACCAATATTGGTATCAGGTTATAAATAGACAGCACACCAACTTATGGGCACAACTGACTACAAGATTTTGTTTAAACGAACATTGGATCGATGAAACTACAGCACAACAACTATGCCTCAGTCCCAAATTGGATCGATGAAACTGATGCTGATACAAATCAATTGATCGATCAATTACTCTTTCAATTTCAAATTAGTCAAAATCGACTACCTATTAGTAGTAACATTTTGCATCGCTCTGTTCAAATGCAATTCAATTTGAATACTAACTAAAGAAGAATACAAGAAACTCATATGAGATCATATTTTGTAAACAGGAGTGATACCCAAAAGATGGAAACACTTTCTCATGACAAGTGCTGTTGCCTCGCAAAGCAATAGTCTGCTTGTTTCCTCGGCTGAGCCAACGACCTGCCAAGTTCCAAAATTCATATTTGTAAATGCTAGCCATCAACTTAAATACCATAGTTACTCTACACAGTATCTTTCTTTTCGTTAAATTATCCGATATCCAAAGACGTTGGTCTAACTGATCTGAATTCGGGCCAGAGAGGCCTGCTAAAGGGGTAAAGTGCTCTCTACTGGAAAAACCTTTTGGTTAAGGGTGGAGGGATCTTAACCATCCCACCGCATCCCTTGGTGGTTTCTACATAGTATGTTCGCCACTTTTCAAGATTTTCATGAATCTTAGACATTGAACTATTATTATTTGGTGTTTTATAAGTGGTTTCGAGCTGGTCTATTGCAACTTAAGCCACGGGTTATAGAGGTGCATAAGATTTGCTTTCACAATTTCTTTGGTTTACTTTATTCACAGCTAGGAAAACTTCTTAC